CCAAATCACTCTACAGAGCATGCTGTAGGCCTACTACATAATGTTCAGAGAGAATCACCAGCTGAGGCAAAGGGGATCTTGCCTCAAACAGGCTGTTCACAGGGCAATAACCCCAAACAAACAGGTTGTTCACAGAACAATAACCCCAAACGAACAGGTTGTTCACAGGACAATAACCCTGGACAAACAGGTTGTTTATAGGCAATAACCCTAGACAAACAGGTTGTTTTCAGGGCAATAACCCTAGACAAACAAGCTATTTACAGGACAATAACCCTAGACATACTGACTGTTTTCAGGACAATAACCCAAGACAAACAAGCTATTTACAGGACAATAACCCTAGACATACTGACTGTTTTCAGGACAATAACCCTAGACAAACAAGCTATTTACAGGACAATAACCCTAGACAAACAAGCTATTTACAGGACAATAACCCTAGACATACTGACTGTTTTCAGGACAATAACCCTAGACAAACAAGCTATTTACAGGACAATAACCCTAGACATACTGACTGTTTTCAGGACAATAACCCTAGACAAACAAGCTATTTACAGGACAATAACCCTAGACAAACAAGCTATTTACAGGACAATAACCCTAGACAAACAAGCTATTTACAGGACAATAACCCTAGACATACTGACTGTTTTCAGGACAATAACCCTAGACAAACAAGCTATTTACAGGACAATAACCCTAGACATACTGACTGTTTTCAGGACAATAACCCTAGACAAACAAGCTATTTACAGGACAATAACCCTAGACAAACAAGCTATTTACAGGACAATAACCCTAGACATACTGACTGTTTTCAGGACAATAACCCAAGACAAACAAGCTATTTACAGGACAATAACCCTAGACATACTGACTGTTTTCAGGACAATAACCCTAGACAAACAAGCTATTTACAGGACAATAACCCTAGACAAACAAGCTATTTACAGGACAATAACCCTAGACATACTGACTGTTTTCAGGACAATAACCCTAGACAAACAAGCTATTTACAGGACAATAACCCTAGACATACTGACTGTTTTCAGGACAATAACCCTAGACAAACAAGCTATTTACAGGACAATAACCCTAGACAAACAAGCTATTTACAGGACAATAACCCTAGACAAACAAGCTATTTACAGGACAATAACCCTAGACATACTGACTGTTTTCAGGACAATAACCCTAGACAAACAAGCTATTTACAGGACAATAACCCTAGACATACTGACTGTTTTCAGGACAATAACCCTAGACAAACAAGCTATTTACAGGACAATAACCCTAGACAAACAAGCTATTTACAGGACAATAACCCTAGACATACTGACTGTTTTCAGGACAATAACCCAAGACAAACAAGCTATTTACAGGACAATAACCCTAGACATACTGACTGTTTTCAGGACAATAACCCTAGACAAACAAGCTATTTACAGGACAATAACCCTAGACAAACAAGCTATTTACAGGACAATAACCCTAGACATACTGACTGTTTTCAGGACAATAACCCTAGACAAACAAGCTATTTACAGGACAATAACCCTAGACATACTGACTGTTTTCAGGACAATAACCCTAGACAAACAAGCTATTTACAGGACAATAACCCTAGACAAACAAGCTATTTACAGGACAATAACCCTAGACAAACAAGCTATTTACAGGACAATAACCCTAGACATACTGACTGTTTTCAGGACAATAACCCTAGACAAACAAGCTATTTACAGGACAATAACCCTAGACATACTGACTGTTTTCAGGACAATAACCCTAGACAAACAAGCTATTTACAGGACAATAACCCTAGACAAACAAGCTATTTACAGGACAATAACCCTAGACATACTGACTGTTTTCAGGACAATAACCCTAGACAAACAAGCTGTTCACAGGGCAATAACCCTAGACATACTGACTGTTTACAGGGCAATAACCCTAGACATACTGACTGTTTACAGGGCAATAACCCTAGACATACTGACTGTTTACAGGGCAATAACCCTAGACAAACAGGTTGTTTTCAGGACAATAACCCTAGACAAACAGGTTGTTTTCAGGACAATAACCCTAGACAAACAGGCTATTTACAGGACAATAACCCTAGACAAACAAGCTATTTACAGGACAATAACCCTAGACAAACAAGCTGTTCACAGGGCAATAACCCTAGACATACTGACTGTTTACAGGGCAATAACCCTAGACATACTGACTGTTTACAGGGCAATAACCCTAGACAAACAGGTTGTTTTCAGGACAATAACCCTAGACAAACAGGTTGTTTTCATGACAATAACCCTAGACAAACAGGTTATTTACAGGACAATAACCCTAGACAAACAAGCTATTTACAGGACAATAACCCTAGACAAACAAGCTGTTCACAGGGCAATAACCCTAGACATACTGACTGTTTACAGGGCAATAACCCTAGACATACTGACTGTTTACAGGGCAATAACCCTAGACAAACAGGTTGTTTTCAGGACAATAACCCTAGACAAACAGGTTGTTTTCAGGACAATAACTCTAGACAAACTGACTATTTACAGGGCAATAACCCTAGACATACTGACTGTTTTCAGGACAATAACCCTAGACAAACAAGCTATTTACAGGACAATAATCCTAGACAAACAAGCTATTTACAGGACAATAACCCTAGACAAACAAGCTGTTTACAGGGCAATAACCCTAGACATACTGACTGTTTACAGGGCAATAATCCTAGACATACTGACTGTTTACAGGGCAATAACCCTAGACATACTGACTGTTTTCAGGACAATAACCCTAGACAAACAAGCTATTTACAGGACAATAATCCTAGACAAACAAGCTATTTACAGGACAATAACCCTAGACAAACAAGCTGTTTACAGGGCAATAACCCTAGACATACTGACTGTTTACAGGGCAATAATCCTAGACATACTGACTGTTTACAGGGCAATAACCCTAGACAAACAGGTTGTTTTCAGGACAATAACCCTAGACAAACAGGCTATTTACAGGGCAATAACCCTAGACAAACAGGTTGTTTTCAGGACAATAACCCTAGACAAACAGGTTGTTTTCAGGGCAATAACCCTAGACAAACAGGTTGTTTTCAGGACAATAACCCTAGACAAACAGGTTGTTTTCAGGACAATAACCCTAGACAAACAAGCTATTTACAGGACAATAACCCTAGACAAACAGGTTGTTTTCAGGGCAATAACCCTAGACAAACAGGTTGTTTTCAGGACAATAACCCTAGACAAACAGGTTGTTTTCAGGACAATAACCCTAGACAAACAAGCTATTTACAGGACAATAACCCTAGACAAACAGGTTGTTTTCAGGACAATAACCCTAGACAAACAAGCTATTTACAGGACAATAACCCTAGACATACTGACTGTTTACAGGGCAATAACCCTAGACAAACAGGTTGTTTTCAGGACAATAACCCTAGACAAACAAGCTATTTACAGGACAATAACCCTAGACATACTGACTGTTTTCAGGACAATAACCCAAGACAAACAAGCTATTTACAGGACAATAACCCTAGACATACTGACTGTTTACAGGGCAATAACCCTAGACAAACTGACTATTTACAGGACAATAACTCTAGACAAACTGACTGTTTACAGGGCAATAATCCTAGACAAACTGACTATTTACAGGGCAATAACCCTAGACATACTGACTGTTTTCAGGGCAATAACCCAAGACAAACAAGCTATTTACAGGACAATAACCCTAGACAAACAGGCTGTTTACAGGGCAATAACCCTAGACATACTGACTGTTTACAGGGCAATAACCCTAGACAAACTGACTATTTACAGGGCAATAACTCTAGATAAACAAGCTGTTCACAGGGCAATAATCCTAGACAAACAGGCTGTTTACAGGGCAATAACTCCAGCCAAACAGGCTGTTTACAGGGCAATTACTCCAGCCAAACAGGCTGTTCACAGGGCAATAACCCTAGACAAACAGGCTGTTTACAGGGCAATAACTCCAGCCAAACAGGCTGTTCACAGGGCAATAACCCTAGACAAACAGGCTGTTTACAGGGCAATAACCCTAGACAAACTGACTATTTACAAGGCAATAACTCTAGATAAACAAGCTGTTCACAGGGCAATAACCCTAGACAAACAGGCTGTTTACAGGGCAATAACTCCAGCCAAACAGGCTGTTTACAGGGCAATAACCCTAGACAAACAGGCTGTTCACAGGGCAATAACCCTAGACAAACAGGCTGTTTACAGGGCAATAACCCTACTCAAACAGGCTGTTTACAGGGCAATAACTCCAGCCAAACAGGCTGTTTACAGGGCAATTACTCCAGCCAAACAGGCTGTTTACAGGGCAATTACTCCAGCCAAACAGGCTGTTCACAGGGCAATAACCCTAGACATACTGACTGTTTACAGGGCAATAACTCCAGCCAAACAGGCTGTTTACAGGGCAATAACTCCAGCCAAACAGGCTGTTCTCAGGGCAATAACTCCAGCCAAATTGTCAAAATTGTTACATTTGTTCTAGATTAAGTCTACATTGATAATGTGTGTTTTTGTACCTATAGAAGGTTGATATAATATGGCTGCTATAAACAGACAGTGATAGTCCAAGGAATTTATCTGGCTACAGAGGTACACATATTGTTACATGTATAATAGTCTGTATACTGGGTTCATGTAAGAACACATCTGATTGCAGACACTCAAGGTGTGCATGAGAAGGTCAAGGTTACTCAGAAATTGACCTTGTAAACAGTTGTAATGTTATGGATAGTGATGGAACTAGATTTTGCCAAGTTAGTGTACATTTCTTCCTTTCTTTACTGGTTACCCATTCTCTCCTAGGAAGTAAGATTGATCTGGGCAATCATTTCCTAGTTGAAGTGTCAGGTGCTCACCGTCTGTACTCCCGTTTATAACATCGGTTGTAATTATTCAGATGATATTCTGACAACAAATTTGTATTACAGATATGAATATGACATTTTTATTTTCCTTGTGTGAAGAAGACATCTTTCTAGGTTTTTAAATGTAATTAGAATGTGTTTTCTGGTGAGGATAACATATTGTAGCAGGGGCTTTTCTTGGTGATATAAATAGAACTGCTTGTGTACTTCACAGCAAAAAATCTGAAGTTCTTCCTCCAATGCTTGCACACTCTGTGGGAGCAATCAGCTGATGTTGACAAGGATAGGTACATTTGTATAGCAACAAGGGAAAGTGTGCAGCCATCCATACTCGGGTCACTTTAGCCATGGTCGTTGAACACAGAATATATCTGTATCTACACTCGTTCAATATCCGGATTCACAGTGTAGTACACTGATATACACCAGGACTGTTAAGGTTTGGTAGAGGCTTCCTGTACTGGTGAAGATTTAGCATTTGAAATCGTACATGGAAGTGTGTGTAGTTAACGACTTCCTTGTAAACCACATTATTTGGGAATTTATTGCAGAGCATATATAAAATACGACCAGTGTTTGTTGGTGGTTCAATGTGTTCTTGCTTAAGTCACGATATCATTCTGCATGACCACATCTGGGGTACAGGTAAGTTTTATTATACATCCTATTCAAGTCACCATAATTTGATGTAGTTGATCAGTTACAGAGGTCAAATATATCATCAGTGGAATATTTTGATAGTTTAGAGGATATAGAGAGGTAATAAAGTACACAGGTCTACATGATGTATATCAAACTGATATAGATACTCTTTCTCGTTTTAAGTTTAAATGTTGTTTATCAATAAAGTTTATATACTTTCTGGTTCTCTTAATTCCTACAGGAGCAATGTTTAATTAGTTTTATGCTATGTGAGATTCTGTTTGGTAAAAGCTTGGAATTGGGCAGTGTCTGATTTAGACAGTATAGTTCTGTACATGTACACTGTTGTACATTTCTAAGAAACTTTATTCAATTTCTGTAAATGTTAGACAGAAGTAAAATGTCAGTATTTCTGTCTCTGACACAGTGATAATATTGTTATTTCAGGTGCGAGTAAAACTGTGTGGGAGTAACAATTTGTATAGGTCAGACAAAACATCTGTAATATTGGGTTTCAGGTGTCTAGGATGATATTTGGAGTAAAAAAACTACTTAGTTACTGGTAAAAATTTACATACAATAAAAGATCAAGCTAAAAATATACATACATAGTTAAAATAACACAGAAGATAAAAAAGAAAAGGTAAGACTTTTTAAGGATTACCTTAATAGATTCACAGGTAAAGATAGAAAAGTCAGCTAATACACACTATTTACAATCAGATTGCTGTGAAATTAAGCTTTTAGAATATCAGAAATATCAAACGGATCGTTGACTGAAGTCGGGCATTAAATATTAAAATTTTTGAAATATGAAAGACTGACATATGGTTTTTAAAATTTGGTTTCCTTCCATTTGTAATATGTTGACAAGGAAAGAGAGCTTTAGTGGCTACATCATGATTCAGGATAAAAGTAACAGCTTGTCAGCTAAAAACTTATATTGTTCTGCTCTGAAAAACACCGATGATTTTCTATCATTATATATTGATCTTCTGGGTATAGTTGGTGTCAGAGAAATACATATCGGTACATCTAATATTGCAACAAGCTTAGGCCTATTGGTGTTAAGATATTTGGTTCAAAGATAAGCTTGAATTCTGCATTTGGCTAAAAAGTTGTGATCGTTGTACTAATGTAGTGGAACAAATTGAGTGTAATTTTACTGTCAGTTTGTAACACTTGTGTATAGTAGAATGTGTGTCAAAGATACTGTACTTTTAATGTAATTATCATCAGTGATTTTCATAGAAATGACACTTAATGGGAAGAAGTTTTAATTTCATCATTTAATATTCTCAAAGGTTCTGTTTTGAAACTGGGGTGACAGTTTACCCCGAACAATGTATTGGTATAGGAAATCCTTGAAGCTCAGAGTTACAAATGTTGAATTTTACATTGAGGGGTGATGAATGTGGAACGCTGCATCACCCAGTCAACCTTTACTGCTGTCACCTATACGCACTTTTTAAACCACAAATATTCAGGGAGAAGCCTCTTACAGTTTTTCCTTTCTTAATTAATTTTGTTGTGTCATTATGATAGCATAATGAGTGTGTATTAATATATATATATATATATATATATATAAGTATTCACCAGTTGGTATAACTCTACTAGTCAACCTGTGTATAAATGATTATTAGTAATATTCATGGTAGTTTTAATGGTATTCACAGTCATTAAAAATAGCACAAAATCAAATACCCAGCAAATAATATTAGTGTGAATCAAGATTACAGAAAATATATATTATCTATTTATTAAGTTGGATGTACATGTATAGACATGCATGACATATAACATCAGTGAAATATTAGCCCCACGAAATTAAACATTTCATGGAGCTATACAACTTCTCAGAATTTATAATTATTAAGTGTTAAGCAGATGACTTCACCAGAAAGAATCATTTCCTCAACCCTATTTTTATACCAGAATAAGCAGAACATCAGAAAGCAAAAAGTTAAAATATGTCGTACATTTTTGTGTTATCAAACTATGCAATCATTTATTAACAAATTCTTTGAAGTGTAAAACCAGAGATCGCACACAAGACACTTTAAGTATATTTGGACAGAAATTAAACAGAAGCATCAAATATTAAGACCTTCTTAGACTCACAGTCACATTCCAAGGGACTAAATTGCTAATGTCTAAAAGATATGTTAGATCTGGTCAGAATTAATTTGAAATAACGGCTTGGGAGACACACTAATGAATCATTTGTTTGGGAAATTTTTGAAAAGATTATAATTTAGTCCTATATAAAACAAGCATTTTCATTGGCCAATGTTTCTTAATTATCACTCTATAACATCAGAAATTGACCTAATTTTGTAAGGCCCAGTTTGATTGGCCATTGTGGGGTTGTAGGACATGATCAAAGATGGGAGTTCATCAATAATGTCAAAAATACTGCTATATGGTGTACTTTATGGTTTACACTCCATTTTTTGTGTCGTGGCTCATTAACATAGAACTAATCAAAGTTGATCTTAAATAATTCCTACTAGGGTAATATATTTGGGTTTTCACCTTTACCAGACCCTGGAGCTATTTGTACGTACAGGTGAATTCCATAACAACGTTGTGAAGGAGTCTTTGTAATTGCCATGCTTGAAACTTGGCAAGCATTTTAACATATTATATGCAAAGCACTCTTCTTGAAATCTGATCAAGATTACACAAATTCTTGTGTGGTTCTAGTCAAGACTTGCATGTTGTTATCTTCTTGTTTTTGTACGATGCAGGTTTAGCATTTATTTTGAGCTGTTTTTGAGAAGTGTTGCTGAGTGCAGTGTTTTATTAATTGTGATACTGAGTTGAATGTTTTATGTACGGATGGATCAGGTAGTGTGCTGAGTGCAGTGTTTTATTAATTGTGATACTGAGTTGAATGTTTTATGTGCGGATGGATCAGGTAGTGTGCTGAGTGCAGTGTTTTATTAATTGTGATACTGAGTTGAATGTTTTGTGTGCGGATGGATCAGGTAGTGTGCTGATGGATCAGGTAGTGTGCGGATGGATCAGGTAGTGTGCTGATGGATCAGGTAGTGTGCGGATGGATCAGGTAGTGTGCTGAGTGTGGTTTTATTTGTATGTTTAGTGTGGTACTACATTAAATGTTTTGTGTAGTGATGAGTTGAATGTTTTGTGTGGTGATGAGTTGGATGTTTTGTGTGGTGATGAGTTAGATGTTTTGTGTGGTGATGAGTTAGATGTTTAGTGCTTGGGTTGGATGTTTAGTGCTTGGGTTGGATCAGATAATGTGCTGAGTAGACTTTGGGTTGATCAAAGTTGGCTTACCTTGGTACATTGACCTGTTAGCAGACCTTGCTTGACTGACCTCTGTTGGCTGACATTGGTCAACTGATCCTTGTTGGCTGACCTTGGTAGATTGATTTCAGTCGACTGACCTTGGTAGATTGACCTTGGTAGATCGACCTTGGTAGATCAACCTTGGTAGATTGACCTTGGTAGACTGACCTTGGTAGATCGGCCTTGGTAGATTGGCCTTGGTAGATTGACCTTGGTAAATTGACCTTGGTAGTTTGACCTTGGTAGATTGACCTTGGTAGATCGACCTTGGTACATTGACCTTGGTAGACTGACCTTGGTAGACTGACCTTGGTAGATCGACCTTGGCAGATTGACCTTGGTACATTGACCTTGGTAGATCGACCTTGTTTGGCTGACCAGATGTCTGGGTAACTATATGAAATTGTTACTGTATTGGCTGTGGCTTACTAACCATGGTACTGGTTTGATTGCTTATGTTAATAGACATTGTAAATTTTAGACTTTGTAGTTTGATGACTTTGGTAGGTAGCGATAGCAGTCTTGATTTTGACAACTCTAGCTTATCCAAACAATGATGGTAGTACTACTGTTACAAATGTATCCCTAAATTCTCTGGGTCTCAGTACCAAAATATAACATTGATTTAACTAGCCTACATTGTGAAGAGGTGTCTGGAAATCATCAGGGTTTATGAAATATTGTCGTATAAAAATGAAAACAGCTGATAACATGATCATAAAACGCCAATTAAGGTCTTTAGTGCATATAGGTTCTTTTCCTGTTTCCAGCTGTATAGTCTGAAAAGGCCATTTGAAGGTGTTAACAGAGTTAGGACATGTTGTAGCAATCATACGCTATGCTTGGCTCTCTATCAAATGTTATATAAACATGTTTTGGTATGATTGGTAGATCCGAATGGGTTGTTAAGGGCACATCATCATACTTTTAGTGATCTATCTAGCTGTCTGTTTTTCTATCAGTCTGTCCAGCTGTCTGTCAGTCTGTTAAGCTGTCTGTCTGTTTGTCTGTCCATCATCATACAATTGTTATATTATACAATATTCTTTAAGATCACTCTCCAAACATGTACAGATTTCTAAAATTAAGATAACAACATTGTTTTTTTTTTATTTTCTTCAACAATTTTTCTGTCAGAATTGATGTACCACCTATACAAACTTCATTATAAAGTCAGCAGTTCATTGAAAAGTTGTTAGTTGCATTTTATGGTATATAATTTCTGACTGATGTTAATATAATATGATAACAGGATTAATAAATGTGATCATTTTGTCTGCTTTCAGCATCATGTCCCCATGTGGTAAAAGCTCCGATCGTCATTGCGATGGTCGGACTTCCTGCACGAGGCAAGACGTATATGTCCAAAAAACTCACAAGATATCTCAACTGGATTGGGATCCGTACCAGAGGTAAAACACATTAACATATATTTGAACCACTGATTAATAAAAGGAATTGCAGGTGGAAGCAATTGTAATTTCTATCCTTTAGTTAATAGTATTATGTAGAAAACTATAATATCAAACTTTGATACAAACCGAGGTTTCTGCAAAAAGTCAGAACATGTTTAGGATCTCACATAAGGTTCTATTTGGTATTTGAGTTATGAAGTAAATCTTCAGAATTTTTCATCTAACAAGCCTTACAGGAGCTTAAATGGAAAATTAACATATTAATGAATATAATAATAATAATATATCATGTATTATAATAATACTATTGCATAACATAGCAATCCTGTGATGAAATTCAACATGCAGTGTACATATCAATATGAAATACTCTCTCTGTTTATTAGTTATGGTATGTACTCTGTATAAAGAGCATCTGTAATTAGCAGATGTATTAGACACATACTAACTCGATGACATTATGTGGTGCAATTGGCCCAGGTTTAGAATAAGCAAGCTCAGGGTTGGCATGTTTACAGAAAACAAGCATAAAAGACACTGACATAGGAGAATAATGGAATTAAGAGGTTATTAATTTACTGAAGAATGTTCCAGCTTTGATGCATGTATTGTATGTTAGTACAGAAACAGAGAACAAAGAGCCAACACTTCTAATGTCAAAAATATATTGATGTTCTAGGGTGGATCTTTAAGGGATTCACTAGATATCCTTATAAGAAACACAGAAAGAAAAATGATAGATTCCTCAGTATCTCTGAAAGTGCCTTGTATATATGATATGTCTATATATTTAGGTCCAGACAATGGCTACTATACAGCCAGAACATATAGATCCCTGGTGGATACCAAGCTGTTCCAGAGGTGTTGAGTCTCTTTTATGATGTCTTCTGAAATAAATGACCTTGACAGGCTTTCAAGGTCTCGGGGGCCAAATGATTTGAGATAGTAAAATTTCTATTTCAACAAGTAATACATGTCCACAGTCATGATATTTTTGTAGCTGTATGTGAAGAAAATGTTTTTATGATCAAAGTCTTCTTTTTTAAGCTGTGGATTAGTTGAGCAGTTTGGGCCTATAAGGCCTCTTTTATATGTAGGTCTTTATATATGACCGTTAAGGCCCATGGGTCTCTTGTTTTTCTTCATATATTGTATGTTTATACCTGTTGGTAACTATACTTAGTGTGCATCAATGTCACTTTTTGCTATGTGGTGGAGCTGAGTGGGGTTAGTGTGTATAAATGCCACTTTTAGCTATGTGGTGGAGCTGAGTGTAGTTAAGTATAGAAAGGACTTTTGGCATGTGTTGCTGTCAGTAAATCAGATAAACAGGTTTAATGATATGTAGAGATCTTACATCAGATGAGAGAGGTATGGGAGAAACAAAAGTCTATTGTAATGTGTTGTTATGCAGACTTCCTAAGGAGGGGGCTATGAGGGGAGAAGCTGGAAGAAGAGAGGGGAAAATGAAAAGGGCTATGAGGTGTTTTAATAAAGAGGGAAAAAAATCTTTGGGAGGGATTTGATTTTTGCGACAGTGATAGAAAGGTGATTGATTTGATGGAATGGAGATTGATATGTGTCAGCAAATTTTTATAGGTTTACGTCTTTTCGGTGTAGACAATAGTGAGATGTATTGAGTAACCTATAGCACACTCTACTGCTGATTAGATATAGAACAGTACTGACAGGTATATACATACTACTGTATTTAATACACTGTATTTATCAGACAATTAACCCGCGTCTGCTAATGAGACCACCTATTAATACATCAATGTTTAGAAGACCTGTTAATGTTATTTCATTGTCTTGTAAAGTTATTTGTTGATGTGACTGATTGGCAATATATCAACATCAAGGTAACTTTAGCTAGATGTAAAAGAAGTTGTTTTGGCAGCGATAAACAAATCTATTGTTCTATTTGAACTTGTTATACCTATGTTATATTCTTCTGATCTTTGTGAGACTTAGTAAGGGGTACAGGGAGGCATGTTTTCTCAAAGCCCTTGTGTTGGGTACTGAGAGTCTGTGTGAGGGGTACTGAGAGCCTGTGTGAGGGGTACTGAGAGTCTGTGTGAGGGTACTGAGAGCTTGTGTGAGGGTACTGAGAGCTTGTGTGAGGGTACTGAGAGTCTGTGTGAGGGTAGGTACTGAGAGTCTGTGTGAGGGGTAATGAGAGTCTGTGTGAGGGTACTGAGAGTCAGTGTGAGGGTACTGAGAGCCTGTGTGAGGGGTAGTGAGAGCCTGTGTGAGGGTAGGTACGGAGAGCCTGTGTGAGGGGTACTGAGAGTCTGTGTGAGGGTACTGTGAGTCTGTGAGAGGGGTACTGAGAGCATGTGTGAGGGTAGGTACTGAGAGTCTGTGTGAGGGTAGCGAGAGCCTGTGTGAGGGGTACTGAGAGCCTGTGTGAGGGTAGGTACGGAGAGCCTGTATGAGGGGTACTGAGAGTCTGTGTGAGGGTACTGTGAGTCTGTGTGAGGGGTACTGAGAGCATGTGTGAGGGTAGGTACGGAGAGTCTGTGTGAGGGTACCGAGAGCCTGTGTGAGGGGTACTGAGAGCATGTGTGAGGGTAGGTACGGAGATTCTGTGTGAGGGTACCGAGAGCCTGTGTGAGGGGTACTGAGAGCATGTGTGAGGGGTACTGAGAGCATGTGAGAGGGTAGGTACGGAGAGTCTGTGTGAGGGTACCGAGAGCCTGTGTGAGGGGTACTGAGAGCATGTGTGAGGGTACTGAGAGCCTGTGTGAGGGTACTGAGATCCTGTGTGAGGGTACTTAGAGCCTGTGTGAGGGGTAATGAGAGCCTGTGTGAGGGCACTGAGAGTCTGTGTGAGAGTACTGAGAGCCTGTGTGAGGGGTACTGAGAGCATGTGTGAGGGTACTGAGAGTCTGTGTGAGGGTACTGAGAGTCTGTGTGAGGGGTACTGAAAGCCTGTGTGAGTGGCCTGTGTGAGGAGCCTGTGTGAGGGGAACTGAGAGGTTGTGTGAGGGTACTGAGGGTCGGTGTGAGAGATACTGAGGGTCTGTGTGAGAGACACTGAAGGTCTGTTGGAGGAGTACTGTGATCTTGTGTGACGGATACTGCAAGATTTTTATTTCAGTTTTGTTTTATTTTCAGTATTTAACGTGGGCGAATACAGAAGAGCAGCTACAGATAAATACAGAAGTCATGATTTCTTTAGAGCAGACAACAAGGAAGCCCTAGAAATAAGACAGTAAGTTTGTTTTCCTGTTTGGTTTTATGATTGTAAGTATAAAAATCCAACACAGCAATGGCCTGTTAGTCCAGCATGATATTTGGTCAATAGGTTCCTAAGATGAAGCCCAACAATGTTTGCAAATAAACCAAAAAAAACCTAAACCCATATTAAAGGTCCAAGATCAGATCTTAAAATAAATTCTTCTGACGTATCAAATGGCACAGAAGCATGTTATTTGTCTGATGGGTCTCTGGGGTTAACCATCTCTGCAAAAAAAGGAATGATCTTGAACAGAATTCAAGGTCACAGCTGACAAATTGTCAAAACTTGTGAAAGACTTCTTGTGGTAAACCAAATGCCTGAGTAGTAGCTATTTGGTGGAAAAGTGTTTAGATCAAAGCTTTCAAATTTTGAGAATAAAAGAAGTGAAATTTACCTATAACAGGTTGGACATTGATTTAATTCAAGTCTCAGCATTCAAAATATTACAAAATAAAGTGTTTCAAACTTCATTAAATATTCCCAGATTTTAATTGAGTTGACTTGAAACTATTTTAATGGACTATGTAATTACCACAGGTACATGACTCATCTTTGTGTGTGTATCATATCATTCTACTGATCCATGTCATGTTTTACTTTATGACTGACTGGCAAATTATCTATCAGTCAGGTAAAATCAATAAACAGCCATTTTTTATTTAAAGTCATTCACATTTTCATTAAGTTAGTATTCATTGTGGTCTCTCTCTGTTTTTTTAAGGGAATCCCTGAAAATATATATATTTTTTAAGCGAACATTTATGGGAACAACTTGGAGGTAAATTCTCCCCATTGCCAACTACCTTGCACAATGAAAAAGAACATTTTCATTGAGAGAATTATAACTTTCTGTCAGATATGTGGGTTTGTAGTTCTGCAGCACATGTGCTTTATCAGTGTGTGATTACATAAAGATATACATTGTGTACATAATTGGAAGATTGATAAAGATAGAAATGTAGTGATTCAATGACTTCATTGTGTGATAGTGAGGTTATAATGTAAATACAGAAATACATTGTGTGATAGTGAGGTTATAATGTAAATACAGAAATACATTGTGTGATAGTGAGGTTATAATGTAAATACAGAAATACATTGTGTGATGGTGAGGTTACAATGTGTATAGATACTGAAATACATTGTGTGATAGTGAGATTACAATGTGTATAGATACTGAAATACATTGTGTGATAGTGAGGTTACAATGTGTATAGATACTGAAATACATTGTGTGATGGTGAGGTTATAATGTAAATACAGAAATACATTGTGTGATAGTGAGGTTACAATGTGTATAGATACTGAAATACATTGTGTGATAGTGAGGTTATAATGTAAATACAGAAATACATTGTGTGATGGTGAGGTTACAATGTAAATACAGAAATACATTGTGTGATGGTGAGGTTATAATGTAAATACAGAAATACATTGTGTGATAGTGAGGTTACAATGTGTATAGATACTGAAATACATTGTGTGATAGTGAGGTTACAATGTGTATAGATACTGAAATACATTGTGTGATGGTGAGGTTATAATGTAAATACAGAAATACATTGTGTGATAGTGAGGTTACAATGTGTATAGATACTGAAATACATTGTGTGATAGTGAGGTTACAATGTAAATACAGAAATACATTGTGTGATGGTGAGGTTATAATGTAAATACAGAAATACATTGTGTGATAGTGAGGTTATAATGTAAATACAGAAATACATTGTGTGATGGTGAGGTTATAATGTAAATACAGAAATACATTGTGTGATAGTGAGGTTACAATGTGTATAGATACTGAAATACATTGTGTGATAGTGAGGTTACAATGTGTATAGATACTGAAATACATTGTGTGATGGTGAGGTTACAATGTGTATAGATACTGAAATACATTGTGTGATAGTGAGGTTACAATGTGTATAGATACTGAAATAGATTGTGTGATAGTGAGGTTACAATGTAAATACAGAAATACATTGTGTGATGGTGAGGTTATAATGTAAATACAGAAATACATTGTGTGATAGTGAGGTTACAATGTGTATAGATACTGAAATACATTGTGTGATAGTGAGGTTACAATGTAAATACAGAAATACATTGTGTGATGGTGAGGTTATAATGTAAATACAGAAATACATTGTGTGATAGTGAGGTTATAATGTAAATACAGAAATACATTGTGTGATGGTGAGGTTATAATGTAAATACAGAAATACATTGTGTGATAGTGAGGTTACAATGTGTATAGATACTGAAATACATTGTGTGATAGTGAGGTTACAATGTGTATAGATACTGAAATACATTGTGTGATGGTGAGGTTACAATGTGTATAGATACTGAAATACATTGTGTGATAGTGAGGTTACAATGTGTATAGATACTGAAATACATTGTGTGATAGTGAGGTTATAATGTAAATACAGAAATACATTGTGTGATAGTGAGGTTATAATGTGTATAGATACTGAAATAGATTGTGTGATAGTGAGGTTATAATGTAAATACAGAAATACATTGTGTGATAGTGAGGTTACAATGTGTATAGATACTGAAATACATTGTGTGATGGTGAGGTTATAATGTAAATACTGAAATACATTGTGTGATAGTGAGGTTATAATGTGTATAGATACTGAAATAGATTGTGTGATAGTGAGGTTATAATGTGTATAGATACTGAAATACATTGTGTGATAGTGAGGTTATAATGTGTATAGATACTGAAATACATTGTGTGATAGTGAGGTTATAATGTGTATAGATACAGAAATACATTGTGTGATGGTGAGGTTATAATGTAAATACAGAAATACATTGTGTGATAGTGAGGTTATAATGTGTATAGATACTGAAATAGATTGTGTGATAGTGAGGTTACAATGTGTATAGATACTGAAATACATTGTGTGATGGTGAGGTTATAATGTAAATACAGAAATACATTGTGTGATAGTGAGGTTACAATGTGTATAGATACTGAAATACATTGTGTGATGGTGAGGTTATAATGTAAATACAGAAATACATTGTGTGATAGTGAGGTTACAATGTGTATAGATACTGAAATACATTGTGTGATGGTGAGGTTATAATGTAAATACAGAAATACATTGTGTGATAGTGAGGTTACAATGTGTATAGATACTGAAATACATTGTGTGATGGTGAGGTTATAATGTAAATACAGAAATACATTGTGTGATAGTGAGGTTACAATGTGTATAGATACTGAAATACATTGTGTGATGGTGAGGTTATAATGTAAATACAGAAATACATTGTGTGATGGTGAGGTTATAATGTAAATACAGAAATACATTGTGTGATAGTGAGGTTACAATGTGTATAGATACTGAAATACATTGTGTGATGGTGAGGTTATAATGTAAATACAGAAATACATTGTGTGATAGTGAGGTTATAATGTAAATACAGAAATACATTGTGTGATAGTGAGGTTATAATGTAAATACAGAAATACATTGTGTGATAGTGAGGTTACAATGTGTATAGATACTGAAATACATTGTATGATAGTGAGGTTACATTGTAGACAAAGATACATTGTATGATAGTGATGTTGCAATGTAGATTGATACAGAATTACTTGTCATATGAATTAGTTCTGGCTCATATTTGAAGGTGTATTAATCTTTATGTTTTTTAGAGTATTGATAATTTTTCAATATTTTTGTGTTATTTTTCACAGAAAATGTGCAATGATGGCTATAGATGATGCTACAAAATTCCTGAAGAGTGGCGGGGGAGAAGTGGCAGTATGTATGATAATGAATCATTCAATCCTATGAGCTACAACTTGAAAAATCCGATAACAAGATATGTTTCATTAGAGAAATACAAACACTAATTTATATGTACACTGAAACAGGTGCATGATCAAAAAGAGCCTGTTAAATTTTTTTGTGATGTGTCCATCAGACCAGTAGCCAGGTAAAAATTGTCAGAATCAGGAATGCACTAGTGAGTTTTATACATGTTCAGTTGTGAATAAATTGTTATCATTAGATGAACCACTTTACTGTATCAACAGTAAATCAATGACAGAGATCCTAATGTAAGAATTTGGAGATTCATTGATACTATGTAGTTATATATAAAACTGTGACACTATTAACTTGTGTTGCTAGGTTCTGGATGCCACGAATACAACGCGATGCAGACGGAAGCTATTGGTTGATATGATACATGTAGAAAACAAATTCAAACTTTTCTTTGTGGAATCTATCTGTGATGACCCTGGTATCATAGAGGCCAATATAGTAGTAAGTATAACCAGATAGTGAACTCAAAAGATTGTGCTTTTATGTGAAATTAAGGACATTTTTTGGCCCCTGTTTCTATATTGTATAAACAGTCAAACCTGTCTATAAATGCCACCTGAAGGGAGCAGAGAAAAGTGGCCTTTATACACAGGTAACCTTTATATAGAGGTTCAATCACTATGAATTACATTACATATGAAACCAAAATGGTGGCCTTTAAGACAGGTTTGTCTGTATATCTGTAAGCATTGTACCATTATATGTTCTGTTATTCAATGAAGTATTTGTAAAATTTAACTAAGATGTGCAGTGTACACAGCAAATAATATTAGAAAATGCTGTAGGTTGTTTACATTTTTGTTGGAGGAAGGAAGCATGATTGACAAAACAGCCCTGACATGGTAAAAGTCAATGTTTTTGAGAAGTAAATTGAGGAAAATTCTGTACTTAGCCTTTTTTTATTTGTGCAAAACTTGTGTTCTATTTACAGGAAGTGAAGGTTTGTAGCCCAGACTACAATGGTATGGATCAGACTGAGGCTATAGCAGATTTCTTACAGAGAATCCAACACTACAACGAGACTTATGAACCCCTCTGTCACAAACATGACAAGGATCTCTCCTTCATCCAGATTTTCAATCAAGGCGAGAGGTTTCATGTTAATAAACTAGCAGGTATGTTTCATGTAGACCACAGAAAGAATGATGGACCTTTCCTTCAAAGTGAATTATCAAATGATAGCAGGAATGTTCTATGTAGACCACAGAAATAATGATGGACCTTTTTTCCAAAAGGAATGAATGTTATGCAATTTCAAAGTTGTGTAAGATTAAAATTTTGTGTAGGATTTTAAAATTAAGTGTGATATTAACCATATGCTTTACCTATCTCTGCCTTGTCGTATTTGAGAGAAAACATTACTATGGAAGGGAGATAACTGCACTAGTAAAAACACATACCTAAGAAAATTCTATACCTCAGGTCCTTTAAATTGATCGAAATAGTCATAAAATGTTTATTAAAGTAAAGAAATATTGTGAAAGAGGTGACCAAATGATAGTAAAGAAACAAATTATAGCTGATGATAAAACAACATGTACTCAATTAGAAATTGTTCATTAATTTGTAACTGAATTTGTATTTATGTAGAAATATATAGTTATGTTTTGCAGCATTCAGATTTCATGGCATCAGGCACTGATGAAGTAGGACAACTTATAAAAATTCCATTCCAGTGAATACTTAAAGTGGCGATAGCACTTCAGATAATTGCTGCGATGTAGTATATATTTGTGTTTTCTTGTCTTTGTAGGGCATTTACAGAGTAGAGTTGTATATTATCTGATGAATATTCATGTGCTGCCCAGAACAATCTATTTGACACGGGTAAGTTTATATTGAATATTCTTATTCCAGATATCTCAGGATTGATTTAACAGTAAAAAATCTTATTCAGAAATGTTAACTCTAATGTTTGAAAAAAGGACTATCATTTCAAGGACATTTGTGTTAAATGTCAATAATTAAACAAAGGAGTAATTGTCTTTACAAGATCATCTTTTGTTGAAATTTCTGTCACTGAAATTTTTTTCTGTAAACAGACAAATTATGACGTGTATATTGGTTAAATTTATAAAAAAATGTCATTCCCAGCATGGAGAGAGTATGATGAATCTAAATGGAAGGATAGGAGGGGACAGTGACTTATCTGGCCGTGGTGATGAAGTAAGTTTGACACAAGTTTTAAGAGGAGACTTAGACACACACACAAAAACTGAGATATGTATGATATGAATTTCATGTGATACATATAAAGTAGAATTGTAATTTAATATTGTAATGTTTTAATTATACAGTCAATGCCTTTATAAATAACATCACTATCAATATCTATATTATACAGTACAGGAATGTCATTTTCTGTTGAATTCAGTATGCTGATGCTCTTGCCAAATATGTTGAGGAGGAAAAGATTCCCAACCTGAAGGTTTGGACAAGTGAACTGAAGCGTACTAAGCAGACCGGCAAATACCTAACAGCTCCCATTGAGCACTGGAAGGCTCTAAATGAAATTGATGCTGTAAGTTTAACATTACAGAGTTTGGTTTTCATTGTGTAGATCATAAGGTATTGACCAACTTTTTCAGTTGTATTGTAATCCTATGTACATAACGGTCGAAAATAGTGTGACAAGATGGTTAACGGATTATAGACAAAAAAATACACAAGATGGTAGCAGTGTACACTGTCGTCAATTTAGTTAGGCTTTGTTTTACACCTGGTCATAGATATGCAAGAGTCTGTGACCCCCCTCGTCCCTGTTAAGAGCTGGCCTGCTGTGGCATGTCCAGATGGCTTCCTTAACTAGCCACCTGACAAAGTTGTTTTCCCTGTTGACTATTTGTCTGTCAATGAAACGTTTTGCTGTGCAGAATTTGTATACAAAATCAGATACAAGAACTGGGACAAACTTATCAAAGAAACAGAAAGAAGATTCAACATCTGAAAAAATGAACATCAGAAAGATGGGGAATCCCCAAGAAGCAAAAAATACCCATTAAATCAGAGCAAAAAACATTCTCAGTCCCTGATCAGTAAATCTGCACTTACAGATTATTGAGTATGTCATTGTTAGTACAAATCACACTGGATATTTGGCTGATGAAGGTGACTGTGGAGTCATTGAAACATTACACTCTAATCTTCTAATAGTTGTGTAATAAGATTAACAACCTAAAGAAAACGATTTGAAATATTAGTTTTCCAATATTTTATTCACTTAAACCAAACTTTGTTTCAAATAATAAATAGCTTTATAAAAGCTAGTTGATATAGATGAAGGAATTGTAAGTTATCTCCCTTCCTCTATGGTTTTAAATATATTGCAAATGAATATTGACAAAAGAATTTGATGCATGTTTTCACAACTTATAACAGTTCTTTTCATCAAAGTTAATGAATATGTACAGTTACTTGATGGAAAATTTATACAAATTACAATGAATTATGAACAATTATAATAAAAGATTAAGTTTAAAAGACCATTTGAGATGTAACGTATCTCTTGCCTGTTTGTATGTGTTTCTGTCCCCTACTCATCAGGGTATTTGTGAAGGAATGACGTACGAAGAAATCCAGGAGAAGTATCCAGAGGAGTTCGCAATGCGAGACCAGGACAAATTCCATTATCGGTATCCAAGTGGAGAGGTAAGATCAATCATCCTGGGACTTCTGGAGTGTCTTGTAACGTTTTAGCATAAAAATGTGAAAGTTATAGTTTTAACTCTTATTGTTGTTAGATCTCTAGCTGAGGAGTCACCATCTTGACTTTTTGTACCCATTTTCTTTGCTGCATGGATACACGTAAACATCTGTTTGTTACCAAGAGACAGAGAGTAAAGGTCATGGTAAACACAGCCCTGATCGTTTGTGTTACTTGGAGAAACAGTACCTACCATCTACTTTTTTGTGAGATGACCTTTACTCTTTTTGATGCTCCTCAAAGGGAGAGCAGATAGTCGTGGCTTTGTCCATCCGTCCATCTGTTTGTCTGCCCGTCATAATTTTGTCTGGAGCATAACACAAATGTTATAAAAGATATCAACATAAACTTCTTAGGTAGATAAATCTCAACAAGAGAAGTGCATTGCACAAGAACCATCACTCTTTTTTGTATGAATTAGGAGTTATTGCCCTTTGTTATTTTTCATACTTCAATTTTGGCCCATTTTGAAGCATAACCTGTCTCTGACGGCCCTTGTTACAAGATGTTAAAGTATTGGTCATGTATCTGTTGAATATTTGCTTGCTGAAAATATATTGATGGAGGTGAAACTAAAACATTAGGTAGAGTCAGCAGTGTCCTTGCAATTTGAAAAGTAAAAAAGTATCTGTAAACCAACTGTCTTCATTGGTCAAAACAAGGTAGCAAAACTTAATTGTTTTGAAGTAAGACAGAAATCATGAACTAAGATTATAGTGTCGGATAGTTTAGTCTGTTTTACAAATTGTTGTGAAGCAAACATCATTAAAATTAATATCCAAGAAAGGTAGTTGTTTACAGAAAATTAATGAGAAAACATGATAATACTATGACATTATATTCTATTTCTACTTTCAGTCTTACCAAGATTTAGTGGCTAGACTGGAGCCAGTGATAATGGTAGGTATAAAGGTCGTAGTATGGTGAGATATTAGTCAATATTTAGAAAGTACTAAATTAGATACAAACAACATCAACTGCACAAAGTGCTGTTGCTGGCTGGCTATCTTCTAATTGGAGGTAAGAGAGAGATGTTACAAGATACATGGTTGTTACCTGTACGAGTATCAAGGACAAAAATCTGTTCTACAAAAATTCATCCTTTCTTTCTCGTGTTTAACGTTTTATATTGAAATACTTCCTGAACATATAGCACAGCCAAAGTGATTGATGCGTTAACTGCAGAATTGGACTTTGTTTTCAGCGTCTGACATGTTTGATAAAATTTTTAGTCTGACAGTAAGTGCTGCTTGAACTAATCTTACATTTAACCACATACAATATAAAGATTACAAGTTCTATATACCAAGCCAGTTTTGATCCAGCGACTGTTGATGATTCTGTCAGGGCATTTTTACCCTTACAGGAACTTGAGCGACAGGAGAATGTGTTGGTGATCTGTCATCAGGCTGTGGCGCGGTGTCTGCTGGCCTATTTCCAAGACAAAACCTCAGGTAGATCACTCTCTTTATTAAACAGAATATCTGTAATGCAGGTAGGTGCTATCACCTGTTATATTCACCTGTGTCACATTTTGACAAAACAGCACCATGTTACCACCTTTGTAAGCATTTTAGCATGAATCAGCTCTTTTCCATTAGTCTGAATTTTGGCTAATTTTTGTCTACAGAACCATGGTATTTTAAATTCCTGTACAATCACTTAATTTCAAAACTCCTTGTTGGTAATTCTTGAAATGAATTATAATATCTTGAGAGAAATTCACAACGTAGTGACGTAATTCAGAATTAGGAGTGTTGTGGTAGAAATAAAGTCAAATAGTGGTATGCTTTTTTTAAGGACAAGATGTGATAAAGAGGAAACTTTAAGATCAGGTTGTATTTTGTATCAGAATCCATTTTATTTATACCATTATGCCATTAGTATTCAGAATATTATTGAATAAATTCTTCAATAAGCTTGATCAGTAAACAGAAACTAACAGAAAAAAAACTTAAGTTTCTTGATTTATTTTACAGAAATTATCAAACCAAGCTTCTGGTTATGGTGTTGCCATATTTCATGTGTTTCCATTATAATTCTGACTAATTCAGGGACCTGTCTAAATTATGTAAAACCTAATGCTGGTAATTACTACTTACTACCACTCTCACAGTGATATATCTGCACTTTTAAAAGTTGGGACATATTCTACCAAAAATCAAGCAAATAACAGGACATTCCCTATTTATTGTATCTTAAATTTCCCAATTTTAATGGAAGAATTTAGAAGAGGTAATTGTAATTTGTCCCGGAACTGGTAGGTAGATTTATCACTGCTCTCTAACTATCTTCTGATACAACTACTATGTTATATAAAGCCTTATACAGGTATTCTACCCATCAATATTATATAGCAACAATATAACATTACTATGGGGAACTACTCCCCAACCATGACAGCATCCTCTAGGTTGAATGGCGCCATGTTATTGGCTGAATCTTGCCTGTTAAACTAACATGTTTACTGATATGTAAAGATTGAATTGTTAAACTTCATAAACTTTTACTTCCAAAGATATCTAGGGTTTTATTTCATTTGTCAAGAGCTTCACATCCTGTAACCTCATAGGTCAATCGTTTTGGCACTTTAATCTGGTGAACTTCACATAAATTTCAACAGAAATTACAGTATTTTGTATGCAAGTACCTTTTAGGACAGTTTTACACTATAAAGCAGGTCTCCAAACCTTCTATATTTAGAGTTATGGCCCTTTGGTTGCCATGCTTCAATTGTTCAGGGAGATCTCTAATGTTGTCACTTGTAATTATTAATTTTGGTTTGTCACCGTATGATAGCAATGCATTTTTCTGGAGGTGGGTTAATTGATTTCTGAAAACTTTTTGCCACTAAGATCTGTGTCATGAATTTTCTATAAAATGAGAAGTTTACATGAATAACAACAACAACAGACTGGAATTTTTGTTAATTTTTAGGTCATCTGATCCGAAGGGTCCGATGACCTATAGTCATCATGCTTCGTCCGTCGTCGTCCGCCGTGCGCCGTGCGCCGTCCGCCGTGCGCCGTCCGTAAACTTTTCATTCAAACGACTTCTTCTCAATAATTGGAAGGCCCAGGCAACTAATATTTGGCCTGTAGCTTGCTTTGATGAAGCCCTACCAAGTTTGTTAAAAAGAATGACCTTGACCTTCATTCAAGGTCACAGGGGTCAAATGTCTTAAAATCTTCAAACGACTTCTTCTCAATAACTGGAGGGCCCAGGCAACTAATATTTAGCCTGTAGCTTGCTTTGATGAAACCCTACCAAGTTTGTTCAAATGAATGACCTTGACCTTCATTCAAGGTCACAGGGGTCAAATGTCTTTAAATCTTCAAAGGACTTCTCAGTAATCAAAAGGCCCAGGCAACTAAAATAAGGCCTGTAGCATGCTGGGATGAAGGACTACCAAGTTTGTTCAAATGAATGACCTTGACCCACTTTAAAGGTCACAGGGGTCAAATATGTTAAAATCTTTAAACAACTTCTTCTCAATAACCAAAAGGCTCAGATTGCTGATATTGTGCCTGTGGCATGCTGGGATGAAGGGCTATCAAGTTTGTTTAAATGAATGACCTTGAACAACTTTCAAGGTCACAGGGGTCAAATATGTCAAAATCTTTAAATAACTTCTTCTCAAATACTAGAAGGCCTATGGGGCTAATACTTGGCCCATAGCATGCTGGCATGGAGCCCTACAAAGTTTGTTCAAATGAATGACCTTGGCCCACTTTCAAGGTCACAGGGGTCAAATATGTTAAAATATACAAAGGACTTCATCTCAATAAGCAAAAGTCTATGAGTGCCGATATTGGGTCTGTAGCATGCTGGGAGGAAAGGCTACCAAGTTTATTTAAATGAATGACCTTGAACAACTTTCAAGGTCGCAGGGGTCAAATATGTCAAAATCTTTAAATAACTTCTTCTCAAATACTAGAAGGCCTAGGGGGCTAATACTTGGCCCATAGCATGCTGGCATGGAGCCCTACAAAGTTTGTTCAAATGAATGACCTTGGCCCACTTTCAAGGTCACAGGGGTCAAATATGTTAAAATATACAAAGGACTTCATCTCAATAAGCAAAAGTCTATGAGTGCCGATATTGGGTCTGTAGCATGCTGGGAGGAAAGGCTACCAAGTTTATTCAAATGAATGACCTCAACCCACTTTCAAGGTCACAGGGGTCAAATATGTTAAAATATACAAACGACTTCTTCTCAACAAGCAAAAGTCCATGAGTGCTGATATTGGGCCTGTAAGATGCTTGGAGGAGAGGCTACCAAGTTTGTTCAAATGAATGACCTCAACCCACTTTCTAGGTTTGGCTTGCTTTTTGTCAGATGACCGTTAAGGCCCATGGGCCTCTTGTTTACTGTAAGTTATGATACCAATAACACAGTGGTTCAACAGAAAGAATTTGCATTTAGTCACATAAACATGCTGAAAAATTCCTGCATGAACTCTGTGTCACCTCAATAAGGTTGCTGACCCCACTGAGGATGATGTGAAGCAACTCTTTAAATGACTGGGTTATTCCACCTGAATAACAGTTTAAAAAACCTTGGCAGCAGATGTTCGATTGCTGTAAAATTACACTGAAAATTTTACTTTCAAAGAAGCAAAATTACAGTTCTTACATCCATTTTCTACAGCAGTAAAGATATGTTGTCACTGGGTGTATGGTGATTTGTCATTGAAGGCTATTTCATGTTACATATGTTTATTAACATTATTTTTATTTATGTGAAATGAAGGGGCATTATATCAAGGTTTTATCATACTGAATGAGGGGCATTATATCAAGGTTTTATCGTACTGAATGAGGGACATTATATCAAGGTTTTATCGTACTGAATGAGGGACATTATATCAAGGTTTTATCATACTGAACGAGGGACATTATATCAAGGTTTTATACTGAATGAGGGGCATTATATCAAGGTTTTATCATACTAAATGAGGGACATTATATCAAGGTTTCATCATACTGAACGAGGGACATTATATCAAGGTTTCATACTGAATGAGGGGCATTATATCAAGGTTTCATCATACTGAATGAGGGACATTATATCAAGGTTTTATCATACCGAATGAGGGACATTATATCAAGGTTTTATCACACTAAATGAGGGACATTATATCAAGGTTTTATCATACAAAATGAGGGACATTATATCAAGGTTTTATCATACTGAATGAGGGGCATTATATCAAGGTTTTATCATACTGAATGAAGGGCATTATATCAAGGTTTTATCATACTAAATGAGGGACATTATATCAAGGTTTTATCATACTAAATGAGGGACATTATATCATGGTTTTATCAAACTAAATGAGGGACATTATATCATGGTTTTATCATACTAAATGAGGGACATTATATCAAGGTTTTATCATACTGAATGAGGGGCATTATATCAAGGTTTCATCATACTAAATGAGGGACATTATATCAAGGTTTTATCATACTAAATGAGGGACATTATATCATGGTTTTATCATACTAAATGAGGGACATTATATCAAGGTTTTATCGTACTGAATGAGGGGCATTATATCAAGGTTTCATCATACTGAATTTCGGAATCATCACCTTATATCAAGGTTTTACTATATGTAAACCATGGACATCATATTGTGGTTTTATTGTGCTGTACACACAAAAAGGACTTCACTTTATGTTTACATGTATTAAAGTTTAACTGTGTGTAAACATTGGACAATGCATACAGGTTTTACTGTCTGATGATGCCAACTATTTTCTCTAGGTTTTTGCCTCAGTAACATTTTTGTTACTATCTGTCAAATCACCAGAGTAACTGAAACATCCCTTTTACACTGACAGCGCTCTGTTTCTGACTGTTATGTTACTATAGAAACAAACCTTACCCTTTGTGAACTCTGAACTCCTGTAAAGTTTGCGCCTTGCTTGCTTGTAGGCCAGTATGAGGCTGGTTTTATCATGAGCGTTGCTTTTTGATTTGTGCTTGTGTAGAGGCCAACATTTCCAGAGGTTATATATATTGCTTGCTCACTTTAGATTGTTTAGAAACAGAAACCTGAGGCGTATAGAAGTTTGTATTAGTTTAGTGTGTTTTGTTCTAAGTCTAAAAAGAAGTTTGTATTTTGGGAGTTTGTGTTCCATGTTTGTATTGTGGACTGTTTCAGAAGTGAGTGTCCTTGTCTTCTGTATTCTATATCTAATTTCTGTTGAGTAGAATTCACACTAATGCTGAATGTGAAGTTGTGATGTGCTCATTGAGTGTCAGCATGTAGCTAGACTTTTATTGCACTTGTAGTGTACAATCAGGCTCACATATATCAGTCACTATGACCTGTATTTGTAGATTCTACTTTTCTTAGTTAACTGTCACTTTTCCTCAAATTTCATTTCTCTATAATTAACTTCTTTCTTTATTTACCTCCCATCTTATACTAGAACTTGTCTTTAACAACTACTTGTCTATATCTACCACCTGTCTATAACTACCACCTGTCTATATCTAATATCTGTCTCTATCTACCTCCTGTCTATATTAATTATCTATATTTACTTTATGTGTCTTACTACCTTCTGACTGATTCTTGTCTCTACCTACCAGCTTTCTGTACCTTTCACCTGTCTATACCTACCACATTAAACCTACAACCTGTCTATATCTTCTACCTGTCTGTAACCACTTGATGTTATTACCTACCACCTATCTATATCTACCACCTGTCTAAAACTACTTCCTGTCTATAACTACCACCTGTCTATATCTAATATCTGTCTCTATCTACCTCCTGTCTATATTAATTATCTATATTTACTTTATGTGTCTTACTACCTTCTGTCTATAACTGATTCTTGTCTCTACCTACCAGCTGTCTGTACCTTTCACCTGTCTATACCTACCACCTGTCTATATCTATTACCTGTCTATAACTACTACCTGTCTATATCTACTACGTGTCTATAACTACCACTTGTCTATACCTACCACCTGTCTAAAACTACTACCTGTCTATAACTATCACCTGTCTATGTCTATCACCTGTCTTTGTCTACCACCTGTCTATAACTACCACCTGTCTAACTACCAACTGTCTATAACTACCACCTGTGCATAACTACCACCTGTCTATAAGTACCACCTGTCTATAACTACCACCTGTCTAACTACCAACTGTCTATAACTACCACCTGTGCATAACTACCACCTGTCTATAACTACCACTTGTCTAAATCTACCACCAGTATATAACTTCAACCTGTCTATATCTACCACCTGTCTATAACTACCACCTGTTATAACTATCACCTGTCTATAACTACCACCTGTCTAAATCTACCACCAGTATATAACTTCAACCTGTCTATATCTACCACCTGTCGATAACTACCACCTGTCTATAACTACCACCTGTCTATATCTACCACCTGTCTATAACTACCACCTGTGTATATCTACCACTTGTGTATAACTTCAACCTGTCTCTATCTACCACCTGTCTATAACTACCACCTGTCTATATCTACCACCTGTGTATATCTACCACTTGTGTATAAATACAACCTGTCTATAACTACCACCTGTGTATAACTACCACCTGTGTATAACTTCCACCTGTCTATAACTACCACCTGTCTATAACTACCACCTCTTGTTTCACACTTCCTGTCTATACCCACCTGTCCATATCAACCATCTTCATACCTACTAAATATTTTTCACTCTCTGTTTCATAATTTTGCAAGTGATTTTCGTATGACTTTTCAGTTGGTATGGTACCTGTAATTTTTCTTTCAAAATTTTTTTACTCAGAATAGTCAGATAAAGATGGACTCCGCCGAGGTGTACTATGTAGCCTGGCTGTCTTTGTGTGATGAAGTTGTGATTAATTTTTATGTGAGTTCCTTAAATAACCATGTAAATCTTTCTCTTTAGGTGAAACACAATTTTGAAATGAGGAATGATATGTTGAAACAACACTGGTTATTAAAATACTAAATGGATACAGATCAAATATATGTAGATATTATGAGTTAGATGACTGGCGATGATTTGACATTTTGATATATGCAAATATGCCAATTTCATGACAACAGATTCAAAATAAAAGACATGTTTTTCAAACTTCATGTACCCTTTAGGTTTGGATTGGTTAGAATAAGACTATAGGTTGTAAGCTACTACCTGGGTACAACAAATAAACTGAGGCTTGTCAAATTCCATCAAACAATTTGACGCCTCAAACAATGTAAGAAGGACACTTCATCACATGATGGTGTTGATGTGCCACGTTGTATATATCCCATAGCAAATGTATTCAGGGCACCTAAAGACTTTTTGACATTATTTGTTACTCAAAATCAGGGGTTGCTATTTACAAAACATTTAAAAACTGTTGGTTGGTTTATGATTCTCTAATGCTTAGACCTATTCTACCAAATATCAAATTTAGGGAGTGGGGTTTATGCAAGACAATAAAATATCATTGGTTCATAATTTTGGATACCCTGACATATTTGACCAAATATGGGTTTATTATGAGAGAAATACCAGTGAGGTCCTATTCAGTAGTGTAGAGATTATAGGATATATAAACACAGTACTACAATGAAAATATTGATAACATGTAAAATACGTGTATTCAAATCATACCACATTGAAATAAACAAAGAATCTAAGTTCTATAGAAGATTTGGATATAAACCAGATCTATTGATGAAGAAAACCAAAAGAACAAAATATTTAGTGGAAAGAGATTAAATTTGAATGGATTTGCAATAACAATTTCAATAAATATACTACATGAATTATGAAGGTATACCTCTATATTTATTGTCTTTTTGTTATCTGTCCTTTTTAGGCAACTGTTGATTTTTACCTCATTTGTTTGTGAGAGTCTCATTAAAAATTTGTGAGAGTAATGCCACAATTTTCTAATGATGTACCAATCAACACCTGCTCACAAGAGCAGATAACTCTGTATTACGAAAAAACTGACAGAATGAAACAAACATGTCACTACATGAGTAAGGACTCTACTGTTGCTTTACATTTCTTTAGTTACACTTTAAAACTTTATTTGTTGTTTTTATTTGTATATTTTGTTCTTTGTTTTGGTTCATATTAAATTCTCATGTTATGTACAGAGGTCTTCAGTTATGATATAAATGCCTTTGTTTACCTAAGGAGTTGATTTTAAGTTTTAGTGATCATTCATTGATGATGTCACAGCTTTTTGTGTTCTTTCATTGGTGATGTCACCTTTTTGTGTGGACATTCAATAATGATGTCATGGTTTACAACATAAATTAGGCATTTTCTTTCCTTGGGCCTTTGTAGAGGAAATCCCCTATGTTCCTGTCCCCCAAGAGGCTGTCGTGAAAATGCACATGACTGGACATGGCTGTGAATGTGAAAATAATCTGCTGCTAAGGTATTTTTTTGCTAAGCACACATCCATCTCCTAACCCAAACCACTTTCGTTTTTACTTTAATTTGTATTTTGTTTCCATCCAAATTGAGTAAAAAGAACTTTCCAAAGTCAATTGATAGGAAGGATTTTTGAATAATCAGATGGTTAGTGGATTCTAATCAATCTGTGTTAAATTATATGTTTTATTGCCATAAATCTGTAGTCTGTCTCTGTTTTGATATGGTTTTGAACAAAATGTTCACAGTTTTTAAAATTCTTCCAGTATTCTCCAACACTTGCCATTTAGATGGAAACTCTTAAATTGGTATATGAAAGGCACATTTAAGTAGAAGATCAAAATGAAATTACTGAAAGAGGAATTTTGTACTACTTTTATTAAGTGGGTCAAGGTTACATTTGCACTAATTTTCTTGTATTGTTTGACCTATCCTGAACTAAAGAGAGTCAGTATTCACAACCTCATATTGTTTGATCTCATGATGTGTGCTTAAGTCAGTAAATGTTTCACATAGCTTGTACTGTGTGTGACCTCACCTGCACTAAAGTGAGTCAGTTCACACCTATATCTTGTGATGTATGACCTTACCAAACTCAAGTGAATCATTGTCTTACATACTTTGTGTCAAACGTAAGTGAGTCAGTAGACACCTTTCTTGTCATGTGTGACCTTACTTGTATGGTAATGAGTCAATGTTTCACATGAAATCTAAAGAGACAAATGTTTCACATAACTTGTGTGACCTCATCTGAACAGAATTAAGTCAGTGGGTCACAATTTAATAAATGAAAAAGTATATGACACTTGTCATTTACAATCCAAAAGTCTGCTGTTTTTGTTATTCAAATTGCAAAAATCTATACTTTTTTTTCTTCATAAAACATACAACTACTAACCATGAAAAGAAAAACTTGATATTGTTATTGGTAAAGAGTGTAGCCACAGAGACTTTTTACTGTGTTTAATATTGATGTGGTAGAGAACATCATTATATAGTTTTATATGATGTTGCAGGGCATAAGAAGTTAGTATCTGATTTGTGTACAGTTGTCTCAATTTCATCTTGGTGATTGTTAATAAAAAGAATTCAGTTTATCAGATTAATTGGTAATGGTGATCCTTGAGGATCAGGAAATATTGGCTGTCAGAATGTGAAAATGTTCCAACACTCTATTCGATAGTGATGATTGCTGAGAATTTAAATCACATTGGCTGTCATTTACTCAGGATATCATTTCATTATGATGACTTAAGTTGTCATTTCAACCTGGCACATTCAGTTGCTTCAATATTTTTGGATTTTAATTAGGTTGGAGGTGAAATAAGGCAAGATTGATTGCTGTTTTCAGTACAATAATTCTAATAAAGAAAAATGGATTCTGATAATTTACCTGATCATCTTTTACGTGACAAAAATGAGTTTTAGGAGAATCATGAGAAGGAATACATGAGAAGGAATATATAAACCTTAAAATCACTTCTACTGGTAGAAAATGTGCCTGCTATTTTAGCTATGAATAATTTATTCATGGTTTTTGAATGACTTAAATCATCATAGGTATCAAACATGTTGATAGGAGATAGATTTATCTGCCCTAGTAGATATCTAACATGTTAAAAGAAGATAGATTTATCTGCCCTAGTAGATATCTAACATGTTAAAAGAAGATAAATTTATCTGCCCTAGTAGATATATAACATGTTAAAAGAAGATAGATTTATCTGCCCTAGTAGATATCTAACATGTTAAAAGAAGATAGATTTATCTGCCCTAGTAGATATCTAACATGTTACAAGAAGATAGATTTATCTGCCCTAGTAGATATCTAACATGTTAAAAGAAGATAGATTTATCTGCCCTAGTAGATATCTAACATGTTAAAAGAAGATAGATTTATCTGCCCTAGTAGATATCTAAAATGTTACAAGAAGATAGATTTATCTGCCCAAGTATATATCTAACATGTTAAAAGAAGATAGATTTATCTGCCCTAGTAGATATCTAACATGTTACAAGAAGATAGATTGATCTGCCCTAGTAGATATCTAACATGTTAAAAGAAGATAGATTTATCTGCCCTAGTAGATATCTAACATGTTAAAAGAAGATAGATTTATCTGACCTAGTAGATATCTAACATGTTAAAAGAAGATAGATTTATCTGCCCTAGTAGATATCTAACATGTTAAAAGAAGATAGATTTATCTGCCCTAGTAGATATCTAACATGTTAAAAGAAGATAGATTTATCTGCCCAAGTATATATCTAACATGTTAAAAGAAGATAGATTTATCTGCCCTAGTAGATATCTAACATGTTAAAAGAAGATAGATTTATCTGCCCTAGTAGATATCTAACATGTTAAAAGAAGATAGATTTATCTGCCCTAGTAGATATCTAAAATGTTACAAGAAGATAGATTTATCTGCCCAAGTATATATCTAACATGTTAAAAGAAGATAGATTTATCTGCCCTAGTAGATATCTAACATGTTACAAGAAGATAGATTTATCTGCCCAAGTATATATCTAACATGTTAAAAGAAGATAGATTTATCTGCCCTAGTAGATATCTAACATGTTAAAAGAAGATAGATTTATCTTCCCAACTAGACGTCCAACATGTTAAAATAATACATATTTATCTGCCCAAGTAGATATCTAACATGTTAAAAGAAGATAGATTTATCTGCCCAAGTAGATATCTAACATGTTAAAAGAAGATAGATTTATCTGCCCTAGTAGATATCTAACATGTTAAAAGAAGATAGATTTATCTGCCCTAGTAGATATCTAACATGTTAAAAGAAAATAGATTTATCTGCCCTAGTAGATATCTAACATGTTAAAAGAAGTTAGATTTATCTGCCCTAGTAGATATCTAACATGTTAAAAGAAGATAGATTTATCTGCCCTAGTAGATATCTAACATGTTAAAAGAAGATAGATTTATCTGCCCTAGTAGATATCTAAAATGTTAAAAGAAGATAGATTTATCTGCCCTAGTAGATATCTAACATGTTAAAAGAAGATAGATTTATCTTCCGAACTAGACGTCCAACATGTTAAAATAATACATATTTATCTGCCCAAGTAGATATCTTACATGTTACAGGGAGATAGATTTATCTGCCCAAGTAGATATCTTACATGTTACAGGGAGATAGATTTATCTGCCCTAGTAGATATCTAACATGTTAAAAGAAGATAGATTTATCTGCCCTAGTAGATATCTAACATGTTACAAGAAGATAGATTTATCTGCCCTAGTAGATATCTAACATGTTAAAAGAAGATAGATTTATCTGCCCTAGTAGATATCTAACATGTTACAAGAAGATAGATTTATCTGCCCTAGTAGATATCTAACATGTTAAAAGAAGATAGATTTATCTGCCCTAGTAGATATCTAACATGTTAAAAGAAGATAGATTTATCTTCCCGACTAGACGTCCAACATGTTAAAATAATACATATTTATCTGCCCTAGTAGATATCTTACATGTTACAGGGAGATAGATTTATCTGCCCAAGTAGATATCTTACATGTTACAGGGAGATAGATTTATCTGCCCTAGTAGATATCTAACATGTTAAAAGAAGATAGATTTATCTGCCCTAGTAGATATCTAACATGTTAAAAGAAGATAGATTTATCTGCCCTAGTAGATATCTAACATGTTAAAAGAAGATAGATTTATCTGCCCTAGTAGATATCTAACATGTTACAAGAAGATAGATTTATCTGCCCTAGTAGATATCTAACATGTTAAAAGAAGATAGATTTATCTGCCCAAGTAGATATCTAACATGTTACAAGAAGATAGATTTATCTGCCCTAGTAGATATCTAACATGTTACAAGAAGATAGATTTATCTGCCCTAGTAGATATCTAACATGTTAAAAGAAGATAGATTTATCTTCCCAACTAGACGTCCAACATGTTAAAATAATACATATTTATCTGCCCAAGTAGATATCTTACATGTTACAGGGAGATAGATTTATCTGCCCAAGTAGATATCTTACATGTTACAGGGAGATAGATTTATCTGCCCCTGACTTCATTTGCTTATTTAGTACATGTTTACTCCAGAGCATGTCACAAGTTAATTGCTTTAGTCGATTTTAGAATATTTTAAACATTACAACCATCCTTGTACATACCTCTATTAAGGTTACAATATTTTCTTTTTCCTGGGAACATTAGTATAGAGTTATGTGCCCTTGCCAGCCTTCAGTTTACCTGATACATTTTGTACTTTTTAGCCGACCTCGCGTACCTGAAGGTCCCACTCCACACAGTCATCAAACTAACACCGGTGGCTTATGGCTGTAAGATTGAGTTTGTTGCCCTGAATGTAGATGCAGTCAACACTCACAGGGAGCGTCCTCAGGTGAGTAATTTATGTGTGACCTTGCTTTACCTTCTTGCTCACCCTAACACTCATTCAATACTTCTTTTCACATCTGCATTTCAGATTCTACTTTGCTGACAGCTGAAACCTTTCTATCCTTTAGCTTCTTACAAATTAATCATTTGCATCTCCTTTCATATACTTCTGGCTTGTTATTTTACTCAGTTTTCACCGTCAGAGACTGCAGCAAGGTTTTGGTGGGCTTTTTCAAGTGATTTCAGAGATTTTTTTTGTTACTTTCACATAGTTGTTAACCAGCCTTGAAATCTTTTTTCCTCCCCCACAAAAGTTTCAAAACAAATTAAGATAAATTTCCAGTTTTCTGTGACAATCAGTTTCATGATTAATTCAAAACAAATAGTGGTTCATTTGCAAAAAAAAATAATGATTTATACTTAACATGTGAATGTATAACGGGAAAAAAGTCTTTTAGTTGTAAAAGACTGCTGCCTATGATATGTTGCATGCTGTAATTTAAAACAGATATCATATGATAGAGAAAATGGCTACTTTATATATATTTATATGATAACATTTTGGCTGCTGGATATGATTTTTTATCTATATTTTCTATATTCACTTTTGTATCTATATAAGCTTTTCTTCTTTTGCACTCTGACTTTCTGGCATGTGACCATCAATATGCACACCAGATTCCGTGAAGTTGTACTGCCCTGTATAGCAATCACTGTGGTCAGTTGTTTAATCCCAATCTATGCTTTCCTATTTCTTTCCTGTGATGTTGTCATGTTTCTGATAAATAACGTGTGAGAGATATGTGTATTGTGTGTTTGATCTAACATTGTGTGACTTGAAACCTGTATGACAAGCAGGACTCTGTTTTTCTTCTCTTACAAACTGATTTCTTTAACTTTTCCAGCACACCTATGGCACAAAGAATGGACCCATCGCAAATGCGATGTTTCCTTCCTGCACTTGTTCCTCCCGTGTTGGTACTTAGTCAGCTAGCCTGTGATTGGTGCATGAGTTAGACTCCCTAACCAATGGTAGTCCTTGGCCACATGTTGCTATGGCAACAATCAACAGGATGTCCCTAAGTCACTTGACTTTGTGCAATAATAAAATAATATGACTATTCCAGTGACCATCCACCAAGTAAAGACAACTGTTGTGCATTTTGTTATCGTGACAATGGTGGTTTCTAATGAATAGTTGTCATGGTGATACATTGGAAAATTGCTGTGATTAGGAAGAAACAGTTTTAAATGTCTTTCAGTTGTGAGGAGGTTATCATTTTGTGATCATTCCTGAAGTGAGAATTTTGATTATGAAACTGTAAACATGGATGAAGATACCACAAGTTATTGACTTTTGACCTGTGATCAAATGTGATGTTGTTTAGCCATTGATATTTCCAGACTGTGGTAAAGATGTGTATTTGTGTAGCATAACTGACCGTGACCTTAAAGTGTTCAGCTTCTGATGAATTCACCTTGCTTGTTTTGGTATATATAAGCAAAAAGTGATATAATTTGACTCTGTGTAACTGAAACTGGTGAAAACTGCACTGTATTACTACACTATAACAAGTTTCTATGATATATACTGCTATGCCTGTCTGAATTTTTAGCCCACCATCTAATAGATGGTGGGTTATTCAAATCGCCCTGCATCCGTGGTCCGTCGTCCGTCCGTAAACAATTCTTGTTACCGCTATTTCTGGAAAAGTACTGGATGGATCTTTCTCAAATTTCATATGCAGTTTCCCCTTGGTCCCTAGTTGTGCATTGTACCTTTTTTGGACTGATTCGAATTCAAGATGGCAGACAGGTGGCCATCTGGGATTTTGAATGTAAAAGTTTGTTACTGCTATTTCTTGGAAAGTACTGGATGGATCGTTCTCAAATTTCATATGCAGGTTCCCTTTGGTTCCAAGTTGTGCATTATACCTTTTTGGACTGATCCGAAATCAAGATGGCTGACAGGCAGCCATCTTGGATTTTGAGAGTAAAATCTTGTTACTGCTATATCTGAGGAAGAACTGGATGGATCCTTCTCATATTTCATAGATATTGGTTTCCCTTGGTCCCTAGTTGTGCATTGTACCTTTTTTGGACTGATTTGAAATCAAGGTGGTCCACAGGCAGCCATCTTGGATGTTAACAGTAATACAGCACAAGCATTGTCCATTATCCACCTGTAACTGACTGCTATCTAATAATACTTTGGGATCTTTTTCAAATGATATTTGCTAATAGGTGCTTAATAAAAATATCTTGTGCCATCATTGAGTACATTCAATGAAGACCAGTTCATGAACATTTACAACACCTGTAACAAACAAAAAATAATGAACAAATCTTCAAGAACTGAAAACAGATCCTCAAATGGTGGGCGCCAAGATCCCTCTGGGATCTCTTGTTCTGTAACATATAGTCTTACACCTGTCTGAACTTTTCTTTTATATATAATGCTACAGCTGTCTGATAGGGTCTTTGATATATAGTGCTACAGCTGTCTGATAGGGTCTTTAATATAAAGTGCTACACCTGTCTGAAAGTTTCTAAAATACATAGTGCTACAGCTGTTTGATAGGGTCTTTAATATATAGTGCTACAGCTGTCTGAAAGTTTCTTAAATATATAGTGCTACAGCTGTCTGAATGTTTCTAAAAATACATAGTGCTACAGCTGTCTGATGGGGTCTTTAATATAAAGTGCTACAGCTGTCTGAAAGTTTCTAAAATATATAGTGCTACAGCTGTTTGATAGGGTCTTTAATATATAGTGCTACAGCTGTCTGAAAGTTTCTATAATATGTAGTGCTACACCTGTCTGAAAGTTTCTAAAATATATAGTGCTATAGCTGTCTGAAAGTTTCTAAAATACATAGTGCTATAGCTGCCTAATAGGGTCTTTTATGTATAGTGCTACACCTGTCTGTTAGGGTCTTTAATATATAGTCTGAAATTAACTGAAATATATAGTCATATTTTTGTCTGACAGGGTTTTAACATATAGTACATCTGTCTGAATGTTTCTAAAATATGTAGTGCTACACCTGTCTGATATGGTCTTTAATATATAGTGCTACACCTGTCTGTTAGGGTCTTTGATATATTGTGCTACAGCTGTCTGTTAGGGTCTTTAATATATAGTGCTACACCTGTCTGTTAGGGTCTTTAAGATATAGTGCTACACCTGCTGTGAGGGTCTTTAATATATAGTGCTACACCTGTCTGTGAGGGTCTTTGATATATAGTGCTACACCTGTGTGAAAGTTTCTATAATACATATATAGTGCTACACCTGTCTGATAAGGTCTTTGATATATAGTGCTGAATATACACTTGTCTGAATTTTTTTTTCATCAATAAATAGTGCTTTTCCTGTAATTCTAGGTATTTCTGAAACATAATACATGCATGTAATGCTAATCGGTGCCATGCAACAAACCAGCTAGTAATCAGAATAATTTACCTGTGAAACATTTTACCCAGATATTGTTACAGATATCTTTATTTTTGATCTGAAGATGATGTAGTTTTTTAATCTTTTTAATGTTCTATGTTGTCCAAATATATTTATTATACAATAAGATCTGATTGAAAATATTTTATGTGAAGTATTAAATGTAACTTGTTTAGCTAAAGAATTTTTTATGTGTTCACATATTTAGTTTTATGGACCAAAGATTATCATGAAATAAATTGTGTTTTGATATATTAGTGGTGATGTTGTCTGTGTCTCTTAATGGGGCTGTTTTACGAGGGTTACACCTACCAGTATATATACCTGTATGACTTACTCTTACTTAATTTGGGGAAGGTTGTTAGAATTAGAATTCTGAAAGGCAGGATCAGACATCTTTCTGCAAGTAATTTCTCTGAAGAACTGGATATTATCAATATTTAATCAGAGACATTCTTGCAGTGGTTGGAATTACAAATTGAACAATGAAGGGGCTGAATTACCTTTGGTTTATGATTACTTTCATAGAGACAGAGATTCCTGACCAACATCAATAGATAGACAGATTTTTTGTTTTTACTGATGTATTACCCACTTAATGCTGGTGTAGTTTGTAGTTAACAAAGAATAGAACAATCAGCAGCAACTGTCCTTCAGTATATGTTTATTGACATGTGCTGTAACACATCAATCTTCTACTTTATTATGCCCCCAACATGACCAGGGTATAAAGTGTTGCCATATCTGGTTTCAGCTCCTTTACTCCGATGGCAGGAAATATTGAACATATACAGTAATTGTATCACAAGAAGATGTAGGTTAAGGTTTCCTTGGTTCGAGTCGACTGTTTTTTTTTCCCAGAGTTATCACCCTTGAACCTTCTAGAAAGTATCAGCTTCTGCTCTGTTACTGTTCATTTTCTCAGAAGAAGATTCAAACTGTAAAACTTTAACATCTAATTGTAAACTGAGGAGCTGTAGGACAAGTACATGCTTTGTCTTGATCACCTTTTCTCCAAAAATTATGGTCCTGAAAGTTAAAATTTAAAAGAAATACTGTCAAGTAATGCCAGTTTTCTCTGAACAGGATTGGGATTTTGAACCGATATTTTGTTAGATGGTGTATTGTTTGTACCAGACAGGTATAAATTAACTATGGTTATCTCCCTTGGTCAGCTAATAATGAAAGACTCTATTCCTCTCATTGATTGTCTTTTAATTCAATATGACATATATTTGTGTTTACAGTGTACACTGACCCAGAGGAGTAGGGATGAAGCCCTTCAGACCGTACCAGCTCACTACTGACTGCTACGGACTGCTACGGACTGCTGATGTGGTGTACCAGAGGGAAGGATCTCGCTTACCTGTTCCAAATTCTCTTATCATTCTGTGTTCATGATTACACCTCTTAACAATTCACTTTGTTTTCTTTTAACGGATTGTTAGATTATGTTCAGAATGTGTGGTATCGTATTGATGATAATTTTTTCTCTTAAATACATTAATAAATTGGTTCATAAATTGAACAGGATCTTGACTTTGCCAGACCTTTCAATTTTACTCTCCTTGTCTGGCCACACATGATATAAAGTGAATATTTAGAATATCTATCTTGGGTGTTTATGATGTTTTTTATACTAGAGGGTGTAAATAATAATTATCTGCATGCTTTTAGGTTTTATCTTTGTTATCATTATTAAATATGTTATCATAGTAAGAGGGTAAATTTTAGAAAGGTATTTAGCAAATTGACAGGGGAGATAACTCTTAAAATATAATGTTTAGAGCTAAAAATCCACCACCATATAATAGTAAATGCATTTGATCTCAATGATATTGTCTGTAGATATAATAATATAAATTTATTAACATTTCCTGCTGAACACCTGGTGCTTCTGTAGTTCTTGTCTGGATGTGTTTGATGAAATCCCTTATTTTGATATTTGGAAGAAATGAATCGAATTTAAATTACAGTTTTGAAGGCCTAGCTAACTAGGTCAATGTTTCTATCTATAAAAATTATAGCCCAATTTAGTTATTTAATACAAGGTACTATTATGGAAATTGAACTCTTTAGAGAAGATTGCAGGAAGTTGATTTTGTGGAGCTGTGGATGCATTTATTGATTGTTAAAGTTGAATCAGTTCTTTAATTCATTTAGAAATTCCAACAATTCCCAGGTGAATTGGCAAGGACATCTAATATTTATAACAAAGTGTAGTTAATTACTTATACAGATATTCAATATATGATCAGTTGTGAGAATTGTTTTTAATATGTTTTATTAATGTGTATGGGGTATCTGTGATACTTCATTTGTCTGGACTAAAGTACTACAGTTTGCTAAGTGTCAAAGTTCAGGCAGAGAGACAGGCTAAGTTTTACTATAGCTATAGTATAAACATATTTATACAAGGTCTTATATCATTTAAAACTATGTCTTTTATCCATGTAGAAAGGTTTTATATCCAGAATGTATGTTTTTGTTCATGAAGCCTTTACATTGAATTGTTTAAATAGCTCAAATCTATTTTTAACCAAAAGTTATGACATGTAATTGTTTTATAAATGTGTATAATGTTTGCTCTTCTGAAAGTAAACATTCTTTTTAGTTTAAGATAAGATTGTGAAAAGTGTTTGAATGGTCAGTTAAGATAGAGTATGAATAAGTTCCTGAGAGAGTGTATGTATAAGGCCAGGATATGATTGGGTTTCTGAGAGAGTGTATGGATAAGGCCAGGATATGATTGGGTTTCTGAGAGAGTGTATGGATAAGGCCAGGATATGATTGGGTTTCTGAGAGAGTGTATGGATAAGGCCAGGATATGATTGGGTTTCTGAGAGAGTGTATGGATAAGGCCAGGATATGATTGGGACTCTGAGAGAGTGTATGGATAAGGCCAGGATATGAATGAGTTTCTGAGAGAGTATATAGATAAGGACAGGATATGATGGGGTTTCTGAGAGAGTGTATAGATAAGGCCAGGATATGAATGAGTTTCTGAGAGAGTATATGTATAAGGACAGGATATGATTGTGTTTCTGAGAGAGTGTATGTATAAGGACAGGATATGTTAGGATTTCTGAGAGAGTATATAGATAAGGCCAGGATATGATTGTGTTTCTTAGAGAATATATAGATAAGGACAGGATATGATTGTGTTTCTTAGAGAATATATAGATAAGGACAAGATATGATTGGGTTTCTGAGAGAGTGTATGGATAAGGACAGGATATGATTGGGTTTCAGAGAGAGTATATGTATAAGGACAAGATATGATTGGGACTCTGAGAGAGTATATGTATAAGGACAGGATATGATTAGGTTTCTGAGAGAGTATATAGATAAGGACAAGATATGATTGGGACTCTGAGAGAGTATATGTATAAGGACAGGATATGATTAGGTTTCTGAGAGAGTATATAGATAAGGACAAGATATGATTGGGTTTCTGAGAGAGTATATGTATAAGGACAGGATATGATTTGGTTTCTGAGAGAGTGTATGTATAAGGACAGGATATGTTAGGGTTTCTGAGAGAGTGTATGTATAAGGACATGATATGATTGGGTTTCTTAGAGAGTATATAGATAAGGACAAGATATGATTGGGTTTCTGAGAGAGTGTATGTATAAGGACAGGATATGATTGGGACTCTGAGAGAGTGTATGGATAAGGCCAGGATATGATTGGGTTTCAGAGAGAGTATATGTATAAGGACAGGATATGATTGGGTTTCTGAGAGAGTGTATGGATAAGGCCAGGATATGATTGGGTTTCTGAGAGAGTGTATGGATAAGGCCAGGATATGATTGGGGTTCAGAGAGAGTATAGGTATAAGGCCAGGATATGATTGGGTTTCTGAGAGAGTGTATGGATAAGGCCAGGATATGATTGGGTTTCTGAGAGAGTGTATGGATAAGGCCAGGATATGATTGGGACTCTGAGAGAGTGTATGGATAAGGCCAGGATATGAATGAGTTTCTGAGAGAGTATATGTATAAGGACAGGATATGATGGGGTTTCTGAGAGAGTGTATGGATAAGGCCAGGGTATGATTGGGTTTCTGAGTGAGTATATAGATAAGGACAAGATATGATTCGGTTTCTGAGAGAGTGTATGTATAAGGACAGGATACGATTGGGTTTCTGAGAGAGTATATAGATAAGGACAGGATATGATTGGGACTCTGAGAGAGTATATGTATAAGGACAGGATATGATTGGGTTTCTGAGAGAGTGTATGTATAAGGACAGGATATGTTAGGGTTTCTGAGAGAGTATATAGATAAGGACAAGATATGATTGGGTTTCTTAGAGAATATATAGATAAGGACATGATATGATTGGGTTTCTGAGAGAGTGTATGTATAAGGACAGGATATGATTGGGTTTCTGAGAGAGTATATAGATAAGGACATGATATGATTGGGTTTCTGAGTGAGTATATGTATAAGGCCAGGATATGATTTGGTTTCTGAGAGAGTATATGTATAAGGCCAGGATATGATTGGGTTATTTACTGTTTTAGTGAATGTTGTGTGTGTTATTTATTTGCCATCCTATTATCCAGGTTTGCTGTAGCTATTTTATCTGTTGACAATGTGAAACATTCTAATTTTTAATTTTTTTTTATTATATAGTTGTGATATTATAATTTCTTGATGAGATATATTCCGTGATATGTTAGATGAATAGAAATATCCTGATTTTCTGTGTTTATAAATGAAAATGGTTACTGTCAGTGTATGAATTGAAGCCAAATGATGTACAGAATTTTATCTTGTTAAATGGAAACTGAGAGCAGCTATAATACAGAAATTTTATAAATTATTTTTCAATAATTGTACTAAGATTAAAATAAAAGAGTAGAATCATCTTGTGAATAATTATGAATCCTGCTAACATTAGCAGCCTACTAGCTACAAGTCTGTTTTTATGATATGACAATGGTGCCATAATGTTGTGATGTCACTGCTGATACAGTTGTAACTGCCACTGCCAGACTGGCTGGGAGTAATTAAACATGTGTTGACAACACATGTATTTCCACTTACTACAGAGTTAGTGTATGATATATTTCTAATGATACAGAATCGGTACAATTATGTGATATATATAACTAATGATACAGAATCGGTACAATTATGTGATATATATAACTAATGATACAGAATCGGTACAATTATGTGATATATATAACTAATGGTTATAGATTTGTTGAAAATAAAAAATCAGATTCCTTTTAAAATTGTTCATCTTGTTTATCAGGTCAAGAGTCTCAATCGATTTTGCTTTGCTGATAAGTTAAAGTTGTTTTTTTTAGTAAAGGTAATTTCACTTTCAAAAGATTAAGTCTTAGAGTTGGTGCACACATCTAGATTTTTACATATAGAAAAAAATTGCTTTTCCTCTGTGTCACCCTGAACTTCAAGATTCATGTTCTTGGTAGCATTGGTATTCCTTGAAGCACAAAACTGCTGTGTATGATGCAGTTTAATTCATTATTTGGGTTTCATCTATAAAATTCTAAATTTGTTTTTAAGTGTCTTCTGTACAATCTTCTGAACATTTTTAATCAAATCTATATTGGCAGTTTCATTTTAAAAAGAAGGAACTCACAATGCCCCAAAATCATATTGACATTGAATACAAAACTTCTGTTGATTGAGCTCAGAACTATTGTTAAACTCTCCCTCTGGTTATCAATGCTGAGATAACATCTAGCAAATACAGGCAGTTTTAACTGCTTTTGGAGCCACATGTGTTTTACTTAATCTCCAAAACACTGTCAACATTGAGTATCATAGATATGTAATTTAGTTGTTAAAAAGTGGCGAAATATTCATAGAATTTCCAAACACATACATTATCATACCCGTACACCATTCTGTAGAATGGCTTCTTTCTGGTATCAATATTTATGATGCAGGAAAACCATAGATTTTGACTATTCTGGAATATATTTTTTGGATACGATCATAGCTATTACTTTTGAAGATATGAATTCTTGATGCTGATTGTGGTTATCTTTCTAAGATTCGTCATTGATGTTGAAAGGGATCAAAAGTGAGCAACTGCAAAACGCTAGAACTGCGCATGACCGACTAAATAATATAACTACAAATCACCTATCAGCACCGACTGCCACCTGGGTGGCTGACTAAATAATACAGCCACACATCACCTATCAACACCGACTGTAGCCTGGGTGGCTGACTAAATAATACAGCCACACATCACCTATCAGCACCGACTGCCGCCTAGGTGGCTGACTAAATAATACAGCCACACATCACCTATCAGCACCGACTGCCGCCTGGGTGGCTGACTAAATAATACAGCCACACATCACCTATCAACACCGACTGTAGCCTGGGTGGCTGACTAAATAATACAGCCACACATCACCTATCAGCACCGACTGTCACCTGGGTGGCTGACTAAATAATACAGCCACACATTACCTATCAACACCGACTGCCGCCTTGGTGGCTGACTAAATAATACAGCCACACATCACCTATCAGCACCGACTGTCACCTGGGTGGCTGACTAAATAATACAGCCACACATCACCTATCAACACCGACTGTAGCCTGGGTGGCTGACTAAATAGTACAGCCACACATCACCTATCAGCACCGACTGTCACCTGGGTGGCTGACTGAATAATACAGCCACACATCACCTATCAGCACCGACTGCCGCCTGGGTGGCTGACTAAATAATACAGCCACACATCACCTATCAGCACCGACTGTCACCTGGGTGGCTGACTAAATAATACAGCCACACATCACCTATCAACACCGACTGTAGCCTGGGTGGCTGACTAAATAGTACAGCCACACATCACCTATCAGCACCGACTGTCACCTGGGTGGCTGACTGAATAATACAGCCACACATCACCTATCAGCACCGACTGCCGCCTGGGTGGCTGACTAAATAATACAGCCACACATCACCTATCAGCACCGACTGTCACCTGGGTGGCTGACTAAATAATACAGCCACACATCACCTATCAGCACCGACTGCCGCCTGGGTGGCTGACTAATAATACAGCCACACATCACCTATCAACACTGACTGCCGCCTGGGTGGCTGACTAAATAATACAGCCACACATCACCTATCAATACCGACTGCCGCCTGGGTGGCTGACTAAATAATACAGCCACACATCACCTATCAGCACCGACTATCGCCTGGGTGGCTGACTAAAGATACAGCCACACATCACCTATCAGCAGCGACTGCCGCCTGGGTGGCTGACTAAATAATACAGCCACACATCACCTATCAGCACCGACTGCCGCCTGGGTGGCTGACTAAATAATACAGCCACACATCACCTATCAACACCGACTGTAGCCTGGGTGGCTGACTAAACAATACAGCCACACATTACCTATCAACACCGACTGTCACCTGGGTGGCTGACTAAATAATACAGCCACACATTACCTATCAATGCCGACTGCCGCCTTGGTGGCAAGCATCCATGGAGTCATTATATTTTCCTTACAACTTAACTCGTAGACCCATTTTCTGGCGAGGCGGCCAATATCTAAATCTTAACTAATAAGATGCCGCCATTGTGTTTCCATGGTAACAGTTTACACAGGCTTTAACATTTTGAATAAGTTTTAATAAAACCGATCGGAAGGCTCGTGAGTTATCGCCCCTTTCAAAAACCCGTGTATGGTGAGCAGGTAACTATAGCAACCGCAATTTTGTGAATAAAGTTGCATGCACAAATGGTCCCTCATAAATCCTTACAGTATAGATCGCATTTGCTTCACAACTTTAAGGAGTTGTCTGGACTCCTCATAACACAGGCCGCCTTCATTTGGTTACAATGGCAATCGATAGTTTCGGAAATGTTCCAATTTTTTGTCATCCCACGAAATCCTTTTTATCGATTGTCAGTTTCATCTTTTAATCGATCTTATTGGAAACACCTCACATGTCCAAGCATATGTCATGCTTAGGTAATTACAACAATTAAATAAAAACAATAAAGGGATTGGAGAATTATGGTCTTATGTATGAAAACCTGTGCATCATGACCTTATTACCATGGCAACCAAAACAAAAATGTTCCTTGTACATATACATATGCTAATGCATATTTGAAAACGGCAGAAGTCACAGTGCGATTCCAGTATACACAATTGTCACTGAAGGTACAATTAAATGTTTCATCATGGTTTCATCGGGAAAGTTTCAATTTCATTGTGTATTACTTTTGATATGGTTGTCTCAGTTCCTCGAAATTTGATCGAAGGTGGTCTAGATGGGAAATAGATCTAGATGTGTTTGGTGTCGAATTTTTTCGTTATAGTTTTTAAAATACTAGATTGCTTCGTAAATATATTGACACGTCGCTAAAGCGAACTCTTTTCATCAACTTTTTCGTCATATTGACAAACCGTCCTTATTGGTCCCTCCATCAACACAACAGATACTTATTTTAGTTCAATCCTGAAATAACTTAAAATGCTTTGTTTTAGTTCAACATCTATTTGGTTTATCATTAAATTATATCAGTCTAACAAATGCAGTTGTTTGATCTATTCATTTAAACTGGTTTGATACAATAAAGCTGATGTCCAACATTGGTTTGTTTTGTAGGTTCAGAATGAATGAGTTGATCGTTACGGACATGGACAAGACATTATATAGTGTATACATTTCTGATCTGTCATGTTTGTTACGTTCGACTTCCTGGCTTTATGCCTACCACAGTCACGTTCGTATACCTGTCCAGAAGTAAGGGAACCGGGACCAAAATAACCATATCAAAATACGATGCCTATATTTGATTGTTGAACAATTCACATTCAACAATTAGATTGTCCAAGCTACAGCCAGTCTAGAAGATTCTATAATAATGATCTTTATTTATTTTGCAACAATTGCGAAACAAGTTTTTCCAACTTTTATTAATCACCCTTGTTGGCGCGGATGAAAGCGTGCGAGGGGTCTTATTGTAGGAGTACCCGGGGAAAATCCACGTGGTAGGGCAAGTGACCTTTTCACATCCATTCCGGAAATCGAACCCCTGATGGCATGGTGACAGGCTAGTGCGTTGCTACTGCGCCATCCGACCACCCTCTAGAAGATTCTCTTGCTAATGAGTGATCAGACACTTTTAACTTTGTAATAACATCGAGATAGAAATCTTTCTTATTGTAAAAGGACCCGTCTTTAATATTCATATTCCAGTAATGCACCAGATTATTTGCGAAACATAAAAAATACTATTTCAATCAAATATCGAAGTATCTTTAAATTACCAAGAACCATTGTCATCATCAGGAACCATTGTCAGCATCATGAACCATTGTCATCATCAGGAACCATTGTCATCATCAGGAACCATTGTCATCATCAGGAACCATTGTCATTACCAAGAACCATTGTCATCATCAGGAACCATTGTCATTATCAGGAACCATTGTCAGCATCAGGAACCATTGTCATCATCAGGAACCATTGTCATCATCAGGAACCATTGTCATTATCAGGGACAACTGTCATTATCAGGAACAACTGTCATTATCAGGAACCATTGTCATCATCAGGAACCATTGTCATCATCAGGAACCATTGTCATCATCAGGAACCATTGTCATCATCAGGAACCATTGTCAGCATCAGGAACCATTGTCATTATCAGGAACCATTGTCATCATCAGGAACAACTGTCATCATCAGGAACCATTGTCAGCATCAGGAACCATTGTCATTATCAGGAACCATTGTCAGCATCAGGAACCATTGTCATTACCAAGAACCATTGTCATTATCAGGAACCATTGTCATTATCAGGAACCATTGTCATTATCTGGAACAACTGTCATTATCAGGAACAACTGTCATTATCAGGAACAACTGTCATTATCAGGAACCATTATCATCATTAGGAACCATTGTCATTATCAGGAACCATTGTCATTATCTGGAACAACTGTCATTATCAGGAACCATTGTCATTATCAGGAACCATTGTCATTATCAAGAACCATTGTCATTATCAGGGACAACTGTCATTATCAGGGACAACTGTCATTATCAGGAACAACTGTCATTATCAGGAACAGCTGTCATTATCAGGAACAACTGTCATGAACCATTGTCATTATCTGGAACAACTGTCATTATCAGGAACCATTGTCATTATCAGGGACAACTGTCATTATCAGGAACAACTGTCATTATCAGTAACAGCTGTCATTA